ACGCGGGGTCTGATATGGCTATCATACCTCCTGTACGTCGTTCCGAACAGACCGGGAAACCTTTGTGCTGGCAGGGAGGTCGTCTACAAAGCATTCTCTTACACGACAGTTTTTCTCAACCTGGACCAAAAAGTCGCGATTCGCGAGTTTCTGCAGTGGTGGGTAGCGCAACTGTTAGAGCAATATCAGCTCGATCGTCCCTTTCTGCTCCTGGCATGCCTCGAACCTTTCCACGCTCCGTTATGGGCTCAGCGCGTCGTCGGGGTCGTCCACCGAAACGTGTCTCGTTCAATTACAGATCATCTGAACCTGATGGCGGAAATAATGATGCTTCATCTGAATTACCCTTATCCAATTTACTGGTTCGCGGTCAAAGTCGAAAATCTGGTATGTTTTACATAGCGTAATTTTTTGTTGCCCGAAGTTTCTTTCAATCGATGAGTTCATTACACCTTCGCATGGGCGGGAACTGATCTAAAGAAAATCTGATAGAGACTTGACCCTGAGTATTCTTACTGGAACACATTTATACACCTCCATGTTTACCCGTTATGCGGTAAAGGTGCACCATTTGTTCGATCGCTATGCAGGTGAATAGATCGACTGATGCAGCCTAAACACCATATGATGCAGCCCTTCTCAAGATTATTGCAGTCCGCTGTCCTTATTCGTGTTGGCTTTGGTCTCTAAATTGCTGGTTCTGATGAAAGCCACCTCAGTAAGTGAGTCCAAAATTGAGTAGTCGTTGGTTTCTTGATACTGCGTAAAGCTGTTCGATCAGATGGAAGTCGATATGTAAGGTAAATAAAGTTGAGATCTACTGCGAAAGAAACTGGAAATATGGGTAGTGTAAAGCACTGTGTATCTGCTCGCATTTTGGTGAACTCTAGGCTCTAGAAATATCTCGTATTCGGGAATTACTACGCAAATGAGATAATCGTTTCCCTTTTTTGCAGTTTATTCTCGTTCATATCAGCTGTTTACCTTTGATTTCCTCCATCTTTAAATGGTTGACTCATCCAAGGCACCGATAAAAAAGCGTGACACTGATATAGTATTACTTTTCCTCCTGTGTTTGCTACGGAACTCATGACAAACTCGGTCGGTCCAAAAAGCCGTCAACCAGGTTTTTTTTATATTGTTAGACCTTCGTTTTGAAGGAAGCCATGAGGTATTGAGTATGGTGATTGCCGAGCTAACAACACTTAAAATGAACAGGCGCTCTGTGGCTTTGGATATGGGCTATGAGATTTTCTCATAATACATTTTGACTTAGACTCCTTTCTTGTTGTTGTTTTTGTATAGGTTGTAACCCGTGGGAATTCGTTTGGTTTTCACTTTTTTGATCTATTTTTGTCTTAAATGTTGCATGTAGGCTAACAACCGTTGCATCTTTTTCGGGACTCATCATAAATGCATAATATCTTAGTATCCCTGCTAGAACTTGAATCTGGGACCTTTGAATTAGGAGTCGGAACTATGTGCTACATGATCGACGGCTAACACCTTTGCACATGGTGATATGGGTGGATGATGTTCTCATAGTTTTGCATGAAGGTTCATTGTTGTTCAAACAATATCCTAAATATAGAGATTACAGAAACTCTCACGGAGTGAGACCCACTTAAAGGTTTGTAATGTTGTATGAGAGTATTGACAACAACCACATGAATTTGTAGATCAGTCAAACATAATGCGAAGAAGGTACATTGTGCCATATCGCAACCGCGCCTGAAACGGGACTTCTTTCTTTTTATACAACCGGTCGTTTGCTCTATATAGTCACTCTACATCAATATTTACTCTTATCATGTACCTCTAAAAGATTCACGCCGCAGTATTCCACTTCTCTTTATTTGCTAAAGACATCTGAAACGTTGAATACATCGCACGCTTCACTTCGCATCCCCACTGTCCCATAATTCTTATGACTTCGAAATTTACCATTCTTCAGATAGAGCACGAAGTAGAACCCGTTTTGCTATTAAATTTCTTGATGTTTATTTGATGAATCCCTTTACGTGAACTCCGTCCCTCTTACCCGTCATAAATCAATATTTCATAAGGAAGTATTTTGTAATGCATACGCTATTCACCTTAATGAGCACTATTTGCACTCGTTGTTTACTGCCTATCATTCGGCGAATATGATATCCTCT